TAGGGCAGACATTTGAAGATCGGTCGCCGACACAACAGTGTGGTGTCGGAATAGTAATACAAGACCACCAAGATCATTTTTATCGCATTTGTGAAATTTTCATTTCTCCGTCTTTGCAGACACTGACTGACTGAGTTAGGGGTAGTATCCCTATATAACATGGCGAGTAAGAGCAAGTGTAAATAGTGAAATCACTTACCAACAAATTGATAGGGCAGACATTTGAAGATCGGTCGCCGACACAACAGTGTGGTGTCGGAATAGTAATACAAGACCACCAAGATCATTTTTATCGCATTTGTGAAATTTTCATTTCTCCGACTTTGCAGACACTGACTGACTGAGTTAGGGGTAGTATCCCTATATAACATGGCGAGTAAGAGCAGGTGTAAATAGTGAAATCACTTACCAACAAATTGATAGGGCAGACATTTGAAGATCGGTCGCCGACACAACAGTGTGGTGCCGGAATAGTAATACAAGACCACCAAGATCATTTTTATCGCATTTGTGAAATTTTCATTTCTCCGACTTTGCAGACACTGACTGACTGAGTTAGGGGTAGTATCCCTATATAACATGGCGAGTAAGAGCAGGTGTAAATAGTGAAATCACTTACCAACAAATTGATAGGGCAGACATTTGAAGATCGGTCGCCGACACAACAGTGTGGTGTCGGAATAGTAATACAAGACCACCAAGATCATTTTTATCGCATTTGTGAAATTTTCATTTCTCCGACTTTGCAGACACTGACTGACTGAGTTAGGGGTAGTATCCCTATATAACATGGCGAGTAAGAGCAGGTGTAAATAGTGAAATCACTTACCAACAAATTGATAGGGCAGACATTTGAAGATCGGTCGCCGACACAACAGTGTGGTGTCGGAATAGTAATACAAGACCACCAAGATCATTTTTATCGCATTTGTGAAATTTTCATTTCTCCGACTTTGCAGACACTGACTGACTGAGTTAGGGGTAGTATCCCTATATAACATGGCGAGTAAGAGCAGGTGTAAATAGTGAAATCACTTACCAACAAATTGATAGGGCAGACATTTGAAGATCGGTCGCCGACACAACAGTGTGGTGTCGGAATAGTAATACAAGACCACCAAGATCATTTTTATCGCATTTGTGAAATTTTCATTTCTCCGACTTTGCAGACACTGACTGACTGAGTTAGGGGTAGTATCCCTATATAACATGGCGAGTAAGAGCAGGTGTAAATAGTGAAATCACTTACCAACAAATTGATAGGGCAGACATTTGAAGATCGGTCGCCGACACAACAGTGTGGTGTCGGAATAGTAATACAAGACCACCAAGATCATTTTTATCGCATTTGTGAAATTTTCATTTCTCCGACTTTGCAGACACTGACTGACTGAGTTAGGGGTAGTATCCCTATATAACATGGCGAGTAAGAGCAGGTGTAAATAGTGAAATCACTTACCAACAAATTGATAGGGCAGACATTTGAAGATCGGTCGCCGACACAACAGTGTGGTGTCGGAATAGTAATACAAGACCACCAAGATCATTTTTATCGCATTTGTGAAATTTTCATTTCTCCGACTTTGCAGACACTGACTGACTGAGTTAGGGGTAGTATCCCTATATAACATGGCGAGTAAGAGCAGGTGTAAATAGTGAAATCACTTACCAACAAATTGATAGGGCAGACATTTGAAGATCGGTCGCCGACACAACAGTGTGGTGTCGGAATAGTAATACAAGACCACCAAGATCATTTTTATCGCATTTGTGAAATTTTCATTTCTCCGACTTTGCAGACACTGACTGACTGAGTTAGGGGTAGTATCCCTATATAACATGGCGAGTAAGAGCAGGTGTAAATAGTGAAATCACTTACCAACAAATTGATAGGGCAGACATTTGAAGATCGGTCGCCGACACAACAGTGTGGTGTCGGAATAGTAATACAAGACCACCAAGATCATTTTTATCGCATTTGTGAAATTTTCATTTCTCCGACTTTGCAGACACTGACTGACTGAGTTAGGGGTAGTATCCCTATATAACATGGCGAGTAAGAGCAGGTGTAAATAGTGAAATCACTTACCAACAAATTGATAGGGCAGACATTTGAAGATCGGTCGCCGACACAACAGTGTGGTGTCGGAATAGTAATACAAGACCACCAAGATCATTTTTATCGCATTTATGAAATTTTCATTTCTCCGACTTTGCAGACACTGACTGACTGAGTTAGGGGTAGTATCCCTATATAACATGGCGAGTAAGAGCAAGTGTAAATAGTGAAATCACTTACCAACAAATTGATAGGGCAGACATTTGAAGATCGGTCGCCGACACAACAGTGTGGTGTCGGAATAGTAATACAAGACCACCAAGATCATTTTTATCGCATTTGTGAAATTTTCATTTCTCCGACTTTGCAGACACTGACTGACTGAGTTAGGGGTAGTATCCCTATATAACATGGCGAGTAAGAGCAGGTGTAAATAGTGAAATCACTTACCAACAAATTGATAGGGCAGACATTTGAAGATCGGTCGCCGACACAAGAGTGTGGTGTCGGAATAGTAATACAAGACCACCAAGATCATTTTTATCGCATTTGTGAAATTTTCATTTCTCCGACTTTGCAGACACTGACTGACTGAGTTAGGGGTAGTATCCCTATATAACATGGCGAGTAAGAGCAGGTGTAAATAGTGAAATCACTTACCAACAAATTGATAGGGCAGACATTTGAAGATCGGTCGCCGACACAACAGTGTGGTGTCGGAATAGTAATACAAGACCACCAAGATCATTTTTATCGCATTTGTGAAATTTTCATTTCTCCGACTTTGCAGACACTGACTGACTGAGTTAGGGGTAGTATCCCTATATAACATGGCGAGTAAGAGCAGGTGTAAATAGTGAAATCACTTACCAACAAATTGATAGGGCAGACATTTGAAGATCGGTCGCCGACACAACAGTGTGGTGTCGGAATAGTAATACAAGACCACCAAGATCATTTTTATCGCATTTGTGAAATTTTCATTTTTCCGACTTTGCAGACACTGACTGACTGAGTTAGGGGTAGTATCCCTATATAACATGGCGAGTAAGAGCAGGTGTAAATAGTGAAATCACTTACCAACAAATTGATAGGGCAGACATTTGAAGATCGGTCGCCGACACAACAGTGTGGTGTCGGAATAGTAATACAAGACCACCAAGATCATTTTTATCGCATTTGTGAAATTTTCATTTTTCCGACTTTGCAGACACTGACTGACTGAGTTAGGGGTAGTATCCCTATATAACATGGCGAGTAAGAGCAGGTGTAAATAGTGAAATCACTTACCAACAAATTGATAGGGCAGACATTTGAAGATCGGTCGCCGACACAACAGTGTGGTGTCGGAATAGTAATACAAGACCACCAAGATCATTTTTATCGCATTTGTGAAATTTTCATTTCTCCGACTTTGCAGACACTGACTGACTGAGTTAGGGGTAGTATCCCTATATAACATGGCGAGTAAGAGCAGGTGTAAATAGTGAAATCACTTACCAACAAATTGATAGGGCAGACATTTGAAGATCGGTCGCCGACACAAGAGTGTGGTGTCGGAATAGTAATACAAGACCACCAAGATCATTTTTATCGCATTTGTGAAATTTTCATTTTTCCGACTTTGCAGACACTGACTGACTGAGTTAGGGGTAGTATCCCTATATAACATGGCGAGTAAGAGCAGGTGTAAATAGTGAAATCACTTACCAAGTTCATTTTTATCACTTTCGTTTGACAAAATTCTTTAGAATATGCAGAGACAACAAATTTCATGATCACAGTTTCCCGCATAACTACCTTCTATTGCCGGTAGTTTTATCATGGAATTGTTTGTGATTTTTGATGCTGCTCGTCTGCTCAAACTTAACCATTTACTTTTCTCAGTGTACTACTCCGCGTCTTTTTGATTGAAAGTTTTCATCTAAAATGCAGTGGAGAAACGTCAGGATATGCGGTCTATTCACTTAATGTGAATATTTTTATGAAGTATAGAATGCTTTAGAATGTAATGGCAGCCTTTTTTATGAGGAAAAATACTTATCAGTAACATTAAACCATTTTATACACTTATACTTCATGACTACTTCCGCCGAAGATTTCCGATTTTTACCTTATTCAGTAGCGCATGCGTCATTCCCTGGTTTATTCAAAGAATAAAAAAATAAGACAATCAAAAGTAAGAAGTATGATGTTTTTGTTCGAGTCTTCTAATATTTAGCATCACAATAAATTGCTAAACTTTTATAATGGTACTTTGTTATATACTACTGATGTCGACAAATATAAGTAGTATGTATCATCAATCGAAAGTGAAATAACTGAAAGCAGAAAGTTAAGAAGATTGAAGGAAAGAGAATGAGAACAGAGAATGATTGTTGTGGAAATGAACGAACAATAAAGTTTGAGATGATTTATTGTCATTCGATTATCCTCACTTATGTTCTCATTTACTTCGAGTAAATCTGTGACGGAAAAATTTATCGAAATATTTGTACAGTTCAAAAATAGGTTTACCAAAATATTTGAATAGACGATGTTATCGTTTCAATAAGCTATCTAATCCTTATTTGAAAGATTTAAAAGCTCCTTTGTCTTGATAGATAGTGTCTAGAAATGGAATCCAAGAGTCATCTCTCGTCCTATTTGAGACTCGTCAGCTGGATGTACCTGCATATCATAGTTGATGGTTAATCCAGGATTCCAACCTGGTACTGTTCACTTCAAATGCCATCTGGTTATCCACTAAGCTACTGAGTCTTGATAACCACTTGCTTGTGCAATGGGGTAAAGTTTGAATTCACTTAGTATTATTTGTTTGAATCTTCCCATTGATGTTTAAGTCTGCAATTGATCAGTCTCTTATTGGCATATGTGCATATTGTGCGTATGAAATGAATTAAACAACCATCATTTTTATAAACCATTTCTGTTTTTATAGGGTAGAATGTGGTTAACTCCAATGGTATTTGGTCATTTTGTACATAAATTAAAATCTTTAGCTGGAGGCAAAGTTGTTGTCATACTTGAAGTACGTTGTGAATATTTTTTTCATTTTAAAAAAAATGAGCGCCTCATGATTTTTTGATAAATTTTCATGCAATACTTGACTATATTCCCTCGTGCTGTGATGTGGTCTACTTATATCCATATAAGTAATATATAGTGATGGTTAGACATAGAATGTATTTTAACAGAAGACCGATAAGGAAAAAACTGAAATGAATCACAATTGGTACGAAAATGCATGAATAATGAAATCAGAGAAGATGGACTGATATTTACAGAAGGAACAGTGAAGATTGAGATAAATGATTGTTATTTGGCAAACTAACTGTTTACTGTAGGGTTATCAGAATTTAGTGAGATAGTTTGTAATGTTGTGTTTAAATACATTCGATTGCCCCCAACTAGTGTTTTGTTCACTACATTTGGTGTCGCTGTCAACCAGGAGAAAGAAGGGTGCTGTTCTACAGACGCCGTTGTGGGTTTGGAGTTGAGGTGCTAGTTTGGGGCAGTCTAGTGCGGAGGTGGTGACATCGAGTCGTCCAATCTAATTGACAATAAAATGAAGGGGTTCACTAAAACAACAACGTTACAAAATGATCACTTTCGATACATCATTATCAAACATACTTGTTCATTAATGATTACATTGATAATGTTATTAACTGATAACAATAATATCTTCACCATTCTTTTTTTTCTTTATTTGTAGGGTGGATATTTTGTTGATAGTTTAGCTGAAGGAATTGTTCATGTTTTAAAAGCATTACTTGATGATCCATTATCACCTATTCGATTAATTCAACCACCATGTTCAAGGTTAATTTATATAGTTACAATTGTTTCTTTTCAATATTGTTAATTATAACAATTCGATTGATTTACATAGTGTTGTTTAATTGTATCTTTTCACTGGTATTTAGGATTGCAATCGATCAATCTCTTGTTGGCATATATGCATCCTATGCGGACTGCCTCGATATTATCTGAAGTCACAAGCATTATAAGCAAAGATGGATAGTGCCACAAGCAAGTGGATATCAGGATTCAGCAGCTAGGTGTATAACGTAATGGCGTTTGAAGCGAAAGAAACTGGGTTCGAGTCTCAAAGTGAACATTAACTCAGATGTAGGAAACGCGTTTTCTGGATTTCACTACTAGCCATTATCCATCTTTGCTTATAATACTTATGAGTTAAGGCAATATTCAAGCAATCCGTCCAGGATACACATATGCTCATTAGAGACTGATCAATTGTAGTACAAAACATCAATGGAAAGATTCAAGTGAACAATACCAAGTGGAATAATGTAAAAGAAACTTTTAATATTCTCTGATATTTCATTACTTATTAAGATTTTACTAAACAATTTAGATTTCAAATGTTTTCTCTTTTATTTTCTTAATTCACTGATTAATAATTTTAAAGATCTAATATTTGGAATGTGAAAGATTCATCTGTGAAATTCTAAAATGATTTCAAGTTACTACTCACAAAATATTAGTAGTATTTTCTAATCTTATTTAAATTATTTAGAACTTAAATGACAATCATATACATTTGAACATGGAACAATTCAATTTTTTTGTTATTTTGAAAGAATACAGTAACTATAACATTCGTAAAACATTATATCTTAGTGAAATCCATTCATTTTCAAACAACCAGAAGACTATTACTTTCGTATGTATGAAAGTTGATAGAGATTTTTGATTCTGGAAATTGACTTTGATGTTGGTTTGTTCTCTGAGCTGGGTGGTTTGGTCGTGGAGCTTCACGACCCACCCACCTGAGCTACAAATCTTCTCCACCATCTGTAAATTGACTTTGATCAGGATATTTTCAGATGGTGGAGAAGATTTATAGTTCAGGTGAGTAATTTTGATGTAGGTTTGTTCTCTGAGCTTCGGATAGAAGTTTGTGCTGATGATGTCGTTCAAAAGGAAGATGAAAGCTCCACGACCAAACTATCCAGCTCAGAGAACAAATCTACATCAAAATCAGAATATTTTCACTTGATTTAAATAATTTTATCTCAAATGCATCAAATTCATTATCCTGAATTAAAATCTTTAGAAGTATGCCTAGAAATTTAATAGTTGAACTTGTGGGTCAATTGAAGTTAGACCACCATGAAATACCTAAGAAATAGTGACCAGTGGAGTTCAACTGGGTCTGTTGTGAAATAGTAACTCACTGATGACAATGGTGGACGATGACGCAATTTCGTGAATTGGTTGAAGTTAGATGGATTACGGTCGGCTCTGCGTTTTGGAGATTAAGAGTTCACGCGCGAGACTGATAGGTTCTGGATTGGAAAGCCCACAAGCGGGATCGTGGATGCTCACTACGGAGGAGTCCTATGCTAGGACGAAACGGCCATCTAGTGCTTCCAAGTTTTTCATGATGGTTTAGCTTTAATTGATTCGTGAACCTAACTATTAAATTACTATGATATCCAAAAAATCAATTTCTGATTATATCTAGGAATGTCTAGACATTTTGATTATATTTCATATGAATTATTAATTCTACTTCAATATCCATTATGGTCGGAACTCTTTAAATGTGTTCCACTGTAGAAAACAGTGTTTCTATCATTTCATGCATTTTTTTGTCTGTTGGGATTACATTTTATTTATTTGAACACATAAATATTGGTACAAAGGGGCACTAGATATATATACGTCACACAAAAAATTGTCATTCCATTTAATTGTGTGAGGGCTATGATACTGCCTGGGTGCCCGAAACGAAGCAGATGGTTTTATTAGGGGGGGCACACCCGGAGCCTTCGACCTAAAGGTCTGATCCACAAGACAATGAAGCATCGTGAAGAGATGCGATCCCATGGTAGCCAGTGACCAACGATTGATTCTTATGCCAGTTGTTCCTTCAGGATACTGGAGCCCATGTGAACCATTGGTTTGGAATCAGGGTTTTTCAACTCCCCTAGATGGACTTTTCGTGTTCACCGATGTGGTTAAAGCGCCGGATATTCGCCTCTTAGATCATCACTTGTCTGAAGATTGTAAATTTGGTTGTTGATAGATGTCAGGCTAACTAAAATCTGCCTTTGGCGCTCATTAAAAACCTCTTCTTACATTGTGTTACATACATCAAATCACGTAAACCATTTACCGAGTTATAAATTGATCGATACAGTTTGGCTATGACTACGGTCAAGATCAAATACGACAATATTTAATACTCAATCTATGAGACTTGAAAGCCTATCTTATGCTTCTGAAACAAGAGATAATCTAAAATTACCTCATGTTAGTAAGAGTAATTTAACTTAAGGCTAAATGTAAACCCTAGAACTGTAGATGGCGTCGAGTCTCGTTTGACTATGATCACCACTACAATAACCTTACGCACCCAAAAACGACTTGGTTCCTTTGATAACTTGCAAACCAGAAGACTATAACTAGTCCAGATAGAGTATATTTATTGACAATCTCGTGGTATCGAAAGATTACCGAGACGTGCCAACGAGTACAGGCAATAAGGATAGAGCGTAAGAAAATTCGAACCAAACAGGGCGGACAACCGAACGAAAATTGACTTTGATACAGTTAAACAATCACGAGTACGATAAAACAATCACTGGTACAATTGGTTATAATAATAACTGTTTCCATTATTCCAATCGTATTCTCGTCGAGAAATGCAGGTCACTACAGAACCATCAACTATCAATAGTGTTATATAATGTGATTCGTTTATTTATCTCTCTTATTTTTTTTATTTAGTGTTAAAGATACTATTGAATCATGTATAACTGTACTGTCCCCTTATTGGAAAAGTCTTTTAAATAGTTCTCAACCTATTTCAACTGAGAGTTTGGAACATTTACCAACAATAACCTGGTAAGTATGAATTTTAGAATGTTATTAGTTCGGTCATTTTTCATTCAAAGTATTATACTACTATTTTAAAATCAGTAGTAACTCAGAAGTAAGTAATTTTGCATTTGTATTTAAAGTAGTTGAATAGGTGAGACTATAATTTATGAACAACCTTTGAGCGAAACTAAAATGATATTCAGAGTGTCCATCTTCTTATTAGAGCTAAATTGCGATTAGGAATCTGTGAAAGAAATTAGAATTTTGATTAACAGTTGATGGTTAGAGTTTGAAACTAGATTTAAGGGCTTTCATCAAAAACTGACATCAGCTATAATGCCGAAATAGTATTTAGCCAAATGAGCAGATTAATCTTGCGCCAAAATCTAAGACCTGCTATCTTAAATTTGATTGGCTTGTCCATATGTTATAGTCTCGCTGATGGATTAAGTATTGCGTTTTCTGAACCTACTTACTTACTTACGCCTGTTACTCCCAATGGAGAATAGGCCACCGACCAGCATTCTCCAACCCACTCTGTCCTGGGCCTTCCTTTCTAGTTCTTTCTAGTTTTTGTTCATTCTTCTCATATCTGTCTCCATTTCTCGGCGTACTGTGTTCTTCGACATTTTTACTTTCATTTTGAACTTCAGGATTCCATGTGCGGACTTGTCTTGTAAAGCAGTTCGGTGCTTTCCGCAATGTGTTTCCACTTCTAGCGCTTTTCCTGATTTCTTCCTCCACTAGAATCTGGTTTGTTGTTTCCTACAGTAGTTAGTTACTGATAATATCTGGCCAACGGATCCGAAGTATCTTGCATAGACAACTGTTAATAAACATTTGTATCTTCTGGATGATGGCTTTCGTAGTTTCCCCGTAGAAAACCAACTCGCTAAAAAAAACGCGTTTTCTAAACGGTGTGGTAATATTGCGGAGTTTTCATTGCCTTTTTAGAAGACATTCTCAGTGACTATTTCAAACACAAGAAGTCATTTTATAGTGTCAATGAAATATTTCATACCTTAGTTTTCGTTGGTGATTCTGTTAATGATTTGATAAGGAAACTTCAATAATGCTGTGGAATATAAACTTGATATATAGATCCATCTGTAGTCGATGGATACATTAAAATGAATCAGATATATCATTGAAGTAGATTTTCTTCCCTGTAAGAAGTGGATGAAACAAGAATCAGAAAACATGTGAAATTATTCATAGTACCGTGAAATTTAACTGATATTCATTTCAATTTCACAGACTATAGAATGTATTTGTTGCTTAGTGTGAGGATTTTAAAAATGTTATGTACTTTCATTTGATTGTGAAGATTTCACTTCCATTCTGAACATAATCATCAGTATATGATTCAAAAGGATAGAAATCTATCTAAAGTTTATACTACTGATATTGCCTAGCTTACTTACTTACTTACTTACGCCTGTTACCCCTAGTCGAGGAGCATAGGCCGCTCATCAGCATTCTTCATCCAATTCTGTCCTGGGAATTCCCTTCCAGTTCATTCCAGTTAACATTCATCCTTTTCATATCTGCTTCTATTTCCTGACGTAATATGTTCTTTGGCCTTTCTCTTTTCCTCTTCCCTTCAGGATTCCAAGTTAGGACTTGCCTTGTAATACAAATTGGTGATTTCTTTAATGTCCGATCCACTTCCAACATCTTTTCTTAATTTTCTCTTAAGCTGGAAGCTGGTTTGTCCTCTCCCATAAAACGCTGTTGGTGATAGTATCCGACCAGTGAATGTTGAGTATTTTGCGTAGACAACTGTTTATAAATACTTGTACTTACTTAACTGATATTGCCTAGACAAACAATAAAATCTCTACAACTTTTAGTGTCGTGATTCGTTAATCGTTCAACTTGATTAACCGTTATAATACAAATCTTAACGGTGCATAAAATCTGAAAGCAAAGAGAAACGGCAGCTACAGTTTATTAACAAAGGACACGCATTGGAGATGGTGGGTAAGCCAACTCACTTTTACCGAGCATTAATCAATATTTATATTCAAATAAGAATAAATGACAGACATGTGATGAATAGGATAGGAAGTGTACACACATATACGATCATATAAAACATAGTCAGGGTTTATAAGTGAATAATTGACAGGGTCAGAACATGACTCATGATGGATAGGTGAATTGGCTTGTCCAGAATCTAGAATAAGGGTATATCGGCTTAACATATCAACTAAAACTACAAACTGTCCAGCTCAGAGAAGATAACATCTTCAAAAAATAATCTTGTAATTGAAACACTTCAATATTCGTTATCGAAGAAGAAGAAGAAAAAGAAGAATTGAGACTATTCAATGAAGGAAATTTTCTTTTCAACGATGTCATCATTTATTCAAGGTGTACAGTTGTATTTATATGAGGACAATTACATCATATCATGTATCAAAGATAGTTACTTAATAATCAAGAATTGAAGAGAGACAATAGGATGAAATCAAATATGAGTAGGATAATTGTCTGTTATAAAGAACTATCATTTAAATGATTGCATATAACTCAAGCTACTGATTATTTGTAAGTAGTGTTATATGAAAATGAACAATTAAGAAAGAGATTAGAAAGTGAATAAACAGATTTAAAGGAAGAGTCTTCTATAATTGTTTGCTAAGATTAAAGTGTTTTGATTATACTATTCCTTCAAAACAATCTGCCGATCTGTCAAATATTCCTTAGATCAGAAGGGGTTTTGTGAAGAATTTTAGTATTTTCATAATTGAAATCATGTGTCAATTGAAGCTAGACCACCATGGAAAACCTGGAAGCACTGGACGGCCGTTTCGTCCTATTATGGGACTCCTCAGCAGTTCGGACCCACGATTCAATTCAAGTATGTTTATCGGTTGGAAGTAGTAAACTTACTTCTCTGAAGCAAGATATGTTAGTTGATAGCTTCCAAGAAAGATATATCACAATTTTATGATGGGACTGATACTCCCTCGGTTCCGCTGTTGATATAATGCTATGATAAATCTATCTATAATTTAATCATAAGAAATAGCCTTCTGTGAGAGAGGACAAACCAGCTTCCAGCTTAAGAGAAAACTAGGAAAAGATGTTGGAAGTGGATCGGACATTAAAGAAATCACCAATTTATATTACAAGGCAAGTCCTAACTTGGAATCCTGAAGGGAAGAGGAAAAGAGAAAGGCCAAAGAACATATTACGTCAGGAAATAGAAGCAGATATGAAAAGGATGAATGTTAACTGGAATGAACTGGAAGGGAATTCCCAGGACAGAATTGGATAGAGAATGCTGATGAGTGGCCTATGCTCCTCCACGAGGGGTGATGAACGTAAGTAAGTAATCTCCATTCATCACAAAACCAACATTAATTGTTTTCATACTTAAGTTCTTTTCCCTAACTTCCCTTCATATATGATAACTTTCAACTAGATATTTATATTTCATCAATAAACTATTTTGTTTCAATGCACTTTCATTTCTTTCTTGAAAATATAGGCCACGGGTTAAGGTGATAACATGGCCTGAAACTAATCCTCAATTACCTAGAATACTAACAAATTATATACAATACTTATTAAATAATCAATTTCCAGCACCATTATCAAGATCGAATGAACTTATTCAACCGATGACTTTGATTTTAATGTCAACATCACAGTTATCAAAGCTATTTGATTTACAATATGGGTCGACTAATGTTAATGGAAGAAGAAGAAGAAAACAACGGAAAGTTTCACCAGAAAGGTTAGTTTGTACCAAAAAGTACTGTACTGTATTTCTGTTCTTAGTTATCTTTTAATTTCCAGTTGACTAGTATTCCCTGTCTTCCACATTGTCCGAACGTTTCATGTACCTATAAAGAATGTTGCTCTGGTTGTTAGAAGGTGCATTGGCCTCGTGAATTCCGAAAAATTTCGGCTTTCATCCTAAGGCTTCATAATTATTTCTTCAACTCTCAGGGCAGAGTTTAAATGGTTTGAATTATTTTTTTCTGGTTAGCGTTTTTTTAGCGAGTTAGTTTTTCTACGGGATGGGGTTGCTAACCCCATGCCCAACCCTCATCCTTTACCCTGGCTTGGGATCGGCAGTAACTCTAAAAGAGCTACTCTCAAAAATCATAAAATCATGCTGGGCTGAAGATTAATATTATCGGGATGCAACATTTTGTGGTAGCGCAATATTAGGAATTAGTTTGGATTGAAAATCTAAACTGTTGTATGACAACTCAGTTGTCCAGATGATATGTGCTCGTCACATGACTTGAATGTCCTGCTTTCGATCTATAGCCCGGTCATTTATATGAGCTGATAAGAAATCCCATAATCAGACGAAACATCTCTCTAGTGCTTTCTAACCTTCAATGATTGTTTGACCAAAGCCAGTCTGTGATTTAAAGCATAAATTGGATAATCACCATAAGACTCTGTTCTTAATCCCTACTGATTGCTTTCCATAGAGCTATAATGTCATCTCCAGTTTAAGTAGTTCAAAAATGTTGTGTATCACACTCAGCACTGAATTTTAGATCATTAGGCTTCACAGAAAGTACATTAATTTCAGAAAAGTAAGTCAATTCTTGACAGTCATTAGTAATCTGTAGAGTGAGGCAGATAATGTATGATACTATGGGTAATATCATGGAATTTTATTATTAAAGGCTATGAATAGTCTATCATAAGAAACTACAATATATTAAATCCACCGAAAAATCGGATTTTGACTCAATAATCTAATGTATTCTGATCAATCTAAATTTTTTAAGTTCAATCATGAGTATAGCTGTGGAATTGTCTGATGTCTTCTATGTTCTTACTGAAACGTATTTCATCCCATCAATAAAGCTAATTTTCCACAAGAAATTGAATGATATTCACTAGTGTGTGTTTGAAATAAGAGACATAACTAGCTCCTAGAATCCTTGGTACAATCAAAGAAGAAGTTAGTCTAATTTATACCTCAAAATGTTCATATACTGCAGGGAGTTTACGGTTTCTCTTAAAGAGATCTCACTCACTAACTTTATGTGATAGATGTGATTTTACAAATATGAAAATGAAAAGGAGACCTCCATGACTTAAATCGGGCTGATAGACATATACAACCTACATGAAGGATTCGAAAAATTGTGATTTGAAACGAATAGTGCAAATGAGCTCCAACATACCAGCGAAACTGATAATGTACTATGGTCATCAATTATCTCAGGTTTCTATCTAACATTGCTTCATTATCTTATAGATTAGATCATGATTTCAAAGTCTGATGGGTGGTGGTGGTGGGGAAAGAATGTCTCCTGAGGAAGATAACTATCTAAAGTTAGGTATCTAGACAAGATATAAGATTTTATATAGATAATGTTAATCTCATAAATAGTTCACTGTGTTCATCATTGATGAACAGATGCAGATGTGAGGGCGAGGATCGGAAAAGCAAGAGCAGCATATTTACAATTGAAGAACATCTGGAACTCAAAACAATTGTCAACCAACACCAAGGTTAGAATTTTCAATACAAATGTCAAGACAGTTCTAATGTATGAAGCGGAGACATGGAGAACTACGAAAGCCATCATCCAGAAGATACAAGTGTTTATTAACAGTTGTCTATGCAAAATACTTCGGATCCGATGGCCAGACACTATCAGCAACAAGTTACTGTGGTGGACAACAAACCAGATTCCACTGGAGGAAGAAATCAGGAAGAAGCTCTGGTAGTGAATAGGACACACATTGACGAAATCACCCAATCGCATTACAAGACAATACTTCACATGGAATCCTGAAGGCGAAAGGAGAAGAGGAAGACCAAAGAACACATTACACCGAGAAATGGAGACAGACATGGGAAGAATGAACAAAAAGTGGATAGAACTAGAAAGGAAGGTCCAGGACAGAGTAGGTTGGAGAAAGCTGGTCGGCGGCCTATTCTCCATCGAGAGTAACAGACGTAAGTAAGTAAGTAAGTAAGTAAGTAAGCAAGCAAGCAAGTAAGTAAGTAAGTAAGTAACAAGCAACCTAATCATCAAACTTAATGTAATTGGATATCTTAACTTCAAATATCTATTATCTTGTATAATCCACTACCCTCTCTATCCATTTGTTTTAGTTTAATACCTAAACTAAATGATCAATTTCATATACATTTCTATAATCAATCCAGTTCAGTAAGTGAATATTCCAATAGTTATATACCTTTTATGTATATATTTTGCTGTTATAAGTATGATTTTCATAGTTCAAAGTATGAGTCAATTAAAGCTTGACCACCATGGAAAACCTGGAAGCATTGGACGGCTGTTTCGTCCTATTGTGGGACTCCTCAGCACTGCGCATCCACGATCTCGCCTTACGAGATTCGAACTCAGGACCTACCAGTCTCCACAAAACTCCTTCTGATAATAATAAGTATCATTGTATCATATCAGGCATTGATTAAAACTGAAAACATGAACCATCTAGCTGGAGCTCAGTAGTTGAACTGGTTATCATCATCATCATCATCACCGTCATAATTAATTTCATTTTTCTTCCCTAGGAAACAACCACACATAACATCGACCCAATTGATCAATTATGTTTTACACCAAGAATGATTTCACCTTCAATTGGATATGAATGGTTCATTCAACATCAACAAACCAAATGTAATTGTCCAAGTTTTGCAATCAATTTAAAAGGTCAAATGGTTAAAAATATCAAAGATTCTAAGAAGAAGTATGAACAGGGGAATTCATTAAAAACATTTCAAACTACTATTATTCATGCATTAAGTTTAATTTTAATGGGACAGGTATGTTTATTTTTTTTTGGTATGAAGAATGTTTACCGTACTGTAATTTTAGGCTTTAGAATTGTCAAGTACCCTTTCCGACACTGAGGGAAAGTCAGTAGGGTTTCACTTCAGAGATCATTAGTAAATACCTATAAATTTGGTATTCATCAAAGCCATAATCACGTATCCTCACACTGTTGTGGAGAGCTACCAGAACAAGGGAAATATAACAAGATGGATAACATCTTGACTAATCATTTAAAAGTCCAAGAACTCAGTGATCAAAAAGATGTCAGTAATGAGATAGAGAATAATCAGAAGGGGTTTTGTGGAGATTTTAGTATTTTTCGTAGCTGAAATCGTGAGTCAATCGAAGCTAGACCACCATGAAAAACCTGGAAGCACTGCTTGACGGCTGTTTCGTCCTATTGTTGGACTCCTCAGTGGCAGTGCGCATCCACGACCTCGCCTCGAGAGTAGACTGATCAGATCTCTAAAAACGACGCTCAAAAATCAACAAGTAATTCGATCAAGTTTATACGAAACAATTAAACCGATAGGTATCGATTTACCAAGGCTATACGGACTACAGAGGGTGTACAAAAAGAATAACCGATTGAGATCAATTTTGGACATGTACAATTCCCTTTATCATACTGTAGCAAAGTGGTCGGTAACCATGTTCAAACCACTCTCCACAAATCTAGTGAAGTATATTATTAAGACAAGACCATGAACATAAACACTAAAAGAAGGACAATGATGTCCTTAGACGGAACATCATTGTTTATAATTATTCCACTCAAGAGGATTGTGAAATATATATATATGAACAACTTAGAGAACAGGTGGTAAAAACTACAATGTGATAGCACTGGACGGCCGTTTCTTCCTATAGTGGGACTCCTCAGCAGTGCGTATCCAAGATCCCGGCTCGCGAGACTCGATCCCAGGATCTACCAGTCTGGCGCCAGAGCGCTTAACCACTAGACCACCTAAGTTACAAATCTTCTCCACCATCTTAAAGACTACAATCTCTGTGGAAACCATTGGGAAATTATTACTAGAATGCATTACGAACGTAAACTACAAATGAAATGGTGAAATATACATTTATATAAGTTCAGACTAGGTTTCATATAGGCTGACATTTTTCTCACTAAACTAAAAAAGGTCCGTTGGCCCAGTATACTAACAAGTTATGATTTTACTACTGATATATGGACGACACGTTCATCCTTTGTAATGTCCGCAGTGACTAATTAGAGACACTCAAGTGGTTCAATGAAGTTCATCTATCTGTTAAATTCACAAATGAGAAAGAAAATAGAAGTAAAACAGCCTTTCTAAATGTTATTTTTTATGTGGGTTTGTTCTCTGAGCTGGATGGTTTGATCGTGGAGTTTTTATCGTTCTTCTGAATGTCATCATCAGCACAAACTTCGGGTAAAAATGAAGTGTTTGAATTTCTCCACACGTGATTCACAGCTTGTCCTGTACACCTCGATGTTCTACTTGCAAAGAGAATCTATGGGTCACTAAGAACAAACATAAACTACAAAACTAATTGGACCTGATAATATGTAAACACCCTAGTTTTGTATCTCTGCGACACAAAAAAAGGGCTTGTTTAAAACACTTCATGTTAGAATAAAGACTATATACTCCAAAGATGTAGTTGAAGAACAATTAAAGGCATATTACCACTACTACTACTCTGAAAGAAAATGAATATCTGAAAGAAATATATTTCAGTAGTTGAGATCATCAGTCAATTGAAGCTAGACCACCATAGAAAACCTGGAAGCACTGGATGGCCGTTTCGTCCTATTATAGGACTCCTTAGCAGTGCACATTCACAATCTCGTCTCGCGAGCTTCGAACCCAGGACCTATCAGTCTCGTGCGCTAGCGCTTAAACTCTAACTTCAATTGACTCATGATCTCACCTACTGAAATTACTATAATATCCACAACAACCCCTTCTGATAGAAATATATTTGTTAAAAAGTGTCAGTAATTATCTTTGAAAATTCCATAGAATTAGAAATATACTCAAAATATAAGTTGAACTTAGTATTGTTTGTTTTGAATCTTTCCATCGATGTGTTAGAACTGCAACGGGTCAATCTCAAATTGGCATATGTGCATACTGTGTGTATTGTTTCGATATAGCCTTAATTCACAAGCATGGTGAGCAAAGATGTCCGAGTGGATAACACGATAGCGTTTGAAGCGAAAGTTACTGGGTTCGAGTTTCAGAGTGAACATCAACTCTGAGATGCAGGTACATCCAGCTGACGAGTCCCAAATAGGATGAAACGCTCTTCAAACTGGATTCCACTGCTAGTCGCTATTCATCTTTGCATACTCAAAATATGTTTAGTAACTCAGTTCTTTTCAGTAAAAATTTCAAAAGTTTTCTTAAATAACTCATTAGTATCCAATTCATAATTTTTCTACGTAGCAACTAGTTAATCACATCAAGAAACTCCTTAAATTTTTTGGTACAGTTATTTTTATGAGTATATAAGAAACATTTTAGAAAAATCGAGCTACTTATTTATAATCAGTAGTATATCTTACACCACTAAAATAATTTGCTGAAATTTTTTTTAATTTTTAGTTTCAGACACTTTATTTTATCAATAATTCATTCAGCTTAGTAGAATTCATTGAGACTATAACAAATATACCTATGGAATTTTTAATTGAATACCGCAAAAGAATATTTAGGCCAAGAGGTTTTCAAATGAATACAAGTAATGATCGTGCAATTCAACTCATGAGGAACATCTCATTCTTAAACAACAACAATAACAACAACACTCTTAATGGAGATAAAATTTTAGAAAAGTTGACACATATCTACTCTTATTCAAATCAATCAAGTTCATTCACTATGCCCCTAACATCAATATCTTCTTCCTTATTATCTTCACCATCTTTATTGAGTAGTACATCTCAAATTGTAAGTTGATTCTTAGTATTATTGAATATTGTGATTTTTAAGGGGATTTTTTCCAAAGTATTGATATATTGATTGGTATAAAATTTATGGTACGGTTACTTTAAATGGAGTTCCTATACCACATCATATGATGTGTCAGTTATATTGTTTGATGATATCTGGAAGATATTGATGAAGACTTACTTACTTACGCCTGTTACACCTCGTCGAGGAGTATAGGCCGCTCACCATCATTCTCCACCCAACTCTCTCCTGAGCCTTCCTTTCCAGTTCTTTCCATTTGTTATTCATCCTTTTCATATCTGCTTCTATTTTCCGAAATAATGTGTTCTTTGGCCTTCCTCTTTTCCGCTTCCCTTCTGGATTCCAAGTTAGGGATTGTCTTGTAATGCAGTTTGGTAATTTGCTTAATGTATGTCCTATCCATTTCCAACATCTTTTCCTAATTTCCTCTTCAGCTGGAAGCTGGTTTGTCCTCCTCTCCCACAGAAGGCTGTTGGTGATAGTATTCGGCCAATGTATGTTGAGTATTTTGTGTAGACAACTGTTTATAAATACTTGTACCTTCCTGATGATGGTCGTAGTAGTTCTCCACGTTTCAGCTCCATACAGTAGAACTGTCTTGACGTTCGTATTGAAGATTATCAATTTGAAGTTAGTTGACAGTTGTTTTGAGTTCCATATGTTCTTCAATTGTAGAAATGCTGCCCTTGCTTTGCCAATCCTTGCCTTTACATCTCCGATCCGATCCGAGTTATACTGGTGAAGAGCTGATGGTATATTTCTAACATTAAGGAAGTTATTCGTGTATTTCATTCACATAGTTTGTCCCCATTTTATGAATTTAAATAAAGTTAAAAGGATGTGAAGTTATCAAATTTCTAGATTCAGAGAATATCGATTATTGAATAGTCTGTCATCTTCAATCCATTTACCTTACGGATATTTTAATACTATTGACTGAAATCGAAATAAGTGCAAAGGATAATGTTATATCGATTAGCTTGAGTGTATGTCTAGATGTGTGTGCCATGTTTAATAATATATGACGTGATGATTCCCGCCAATTGGAGAGCAGTGAACTATCGATCAGAGCAATGACACACAAAAGCCGTATGAGCAATCTTGAGTACTTATCAGTCCTGCTATCTGCCTAGCTCAGTCAGTTAAGTTCAGAACATCAATAGCAGCCTCTGCAATATATGAATCATTATTCTTAAACATAGGGAAAACAGTAATTAATAGATTGGGTATAACTCAAGAATGGTAAATCGTGCAGTAGTAGTCTATGGGTCAAAATAAAGCTCATAATACCCTCATTTAACTCTACTAAGTAGGTCATCCAATAAATTATAATGTCACCGATATTTCTCATACAAAAAATGGTTCCTTACTGGATGTAACTAAACTAAGACCTATAACTCATTTAGTATTGTTTGTTTGAATCTTCTCATCGATGTGTTAGGACTGCAACTGATCAGTTTCTAATTGAACGAAATGCACGTCCTGGATTCCACTGCTAACTATTATTCATCTTTGCTTACTAAGATCTACAATCTTTTAACAATAAGATTTTGATAATATTCATTTAGACATTTGAAAATATCAATGAATCTATAATTTATATTTCATTGAATTGTGATTGAAAAAAAGCAGATCATATTTGCCAACTTGTAAGTCAGCAAGAAAACAATAATCATTGGCTTGGTTGTTTAATTAGATTATTATCAGAAGGGAGTTTTATTTGGGGGGGGGAGATTTTCAGTAATTTTATAATTGAAATCATGAGTTAATTGAAGCTAGACCACCATGGAAAAAACTGGAAGTACTGGATCACCGTTTACATCCCAGTGCGGGACTATAAAATTACAAAAAATCTCCACAAAAAAACACCTTTCTGTTGAATATCATATGCTTACTAGTAATTGGCTTCATATGATATTTCCTGGAAATCTAGTGAGAAGCAGTGATCAGCGGAGTTCAACCAGGTCTGTTGTCAGATATGAACTCACTGAAGACAATTGGTGAACGGTTGCTCAATTTTGTAGATTACTTGAAGTTACATATTAACACAACTGGATGCCGGCAAGTTCAGTGGTCTAGAGGTTAAGCGCTCGCTAGCTAGACAAATAGGTCCTGGTTTCGAATCTCGCGAGTTGGAATCGTGAATGCGCACTGCCACTGAGGAGTCCCATAATAGGACGAAACGACGTTCAATCCTTCGAAGTTTTCCATGATGGTCTAACTTCAATTGAATCATTATCTCAACTATATAAGATTACTTAAATATACTTATATTAATAGTATCAAACAAAATCATTTTACATCTTACAATTTTCTTCTTATAAACAGACAAATAATCAACTACCATTGAAATTAGATCAGAATTCTTTCAATAGACCATTTCGTATTATTGTACTTGATTTAAATGGAATACAAAAAATAGATGAGAAAAAATTCAATCAATTTCATGGTTTCGATTATGAAATTAACAAGAAAATGAAATGCGAGTAAGTCAAAAGTTTGAACAAAAATGAAAAAAATAAAACATAGACAAAAATAAAAGAAAGAAAAATAAAAGAAACAAAAAAAACAAGAAAAAAAAAACACAAAAGGGGGAAGGAAAAATTATGAAAAAATACAAATAAGCAAAAAGTATAAACAGAGAAAAAAGAGATGAAAAAAGGACAAAGGGTTGATTGTGTCGTAGGTGGACTGACGTGAGGCGTGTGTTTGTGTGGGTGAGTGTGGAGTGACGAAGGATCTGGTTGGTTGAGTTGGAGAGAGTGAAGAGGTGGGGGAACAGGAGTGTGGAGTGTATGATAGGTCAGGTGGTTGCGAATGGTGCTGTTGCGCACAATGTGCATATGTGTTGTGCTGAGGATTGTGAGTGTTGATAGAGGAGTTTTTCTAGTGAATGAGTGAATGATTCAGTTTGAATGTTCTGTGATGTGCTGTGATGTGATGTGACGATGAGTGTGTCGGTGGTAATGTGATAGGTGGTGTTAGTATTTAGTTGTGTGGATGTGGGTGTGTTGGTGATATGTAGTTGTTGGTGTGTTATGTATATTCCATGTTACGTGTGTACGAGTGTTGAATGTAGGATGAGATGGTTGAATGTGTGGGCTAATTGTGAGTATGTGTGTTGTGTTGTGGTTGTTGGATTGTAGTGTGAAGCGATGTGTTTGTGTGCGAGCGGACGTCCGGCGATAGCTCAGTTGGTAGAGCGGAGGACTGTAGATTGGTGCAGTGATCCTTAGGTCGGTGGTTCGAATCCGCCTCGCCGGAGCTGGTGGGCTTTCGATCCGACATCACTCGATGCATCACACCGACCAGTCAGTCACAAGCTACACTGTGTCGTTGGTCGCCTCACCACAGTGAGTCGGATCGCCAGCGACCAGCACATCGCAAACGTGTCTGTGCGTGCAACCCACCACCCACTCATGGTGTGTAACGGTACAGTCCCCCGTCTAGTCATCGCATCACACTCCACTATTGCCCATCCGTTATGTCGCATCACACCGATCGTCAACTACTCATCCGATGCATTCATTTACCAAATCCAGTCCCATTCAATATCCTTCAGGTGGTCAGACGAACACACACACCAACTGATCGATTGAATATCTCGATGAGTTAGTGAGAGGGTGAATCAATGAATCTATGAATAAATGAATGAATGAATGAATGAATGAATGCATGCATGCATGCATGCATGCGTGAAGGATTGGATGATTGATTAAGAGTACGGCACATCACTGATTGACTCGGTGTTCCATTGTAAAACACTGAGACTGCATACAGAATTGATGGTGAAGTGATTCTGACAATGAGTGCTTGTATGTGAGTGTGTGCGTGTGCGTGTGTGTCTCTGATGGTGAGTGTGGATATGTTCTGACGACAATCATTCGCATGAGTGTAGTCGTTGAAGAGGGATTGGTGTGGGACAGATGGTTGTTGTGTAGTATCATTGGAGTTATTTCTGTATGGAGTTGATGCGACTCGGTGTGTGGGATAGTTGTGTCTGATGGTTGTGAGTGTGTGTGTTCGTGAATTAGTAAATGATGGAATTGAATTTCGATTGTGTTGATGGTGGACACAGTTGTGTTGTTTGTTCAATTTGACTAATGTGTATAGCGATATGATGATTTGTGAGATGGTGTGAATGAATGGTGTACATGTGGATGCATTGAGTGAATGTGTATGTTTGGGTGATTAGGGAGGTGAGGATGATGAAGTGTTGTGTTAGATTTCTGTGTGTGATGCAACACACACGAGGTTGATTGTGTCGTAGGTGGATTGACGTGAGGCGTGTGTTTGTGTGGGTGAGTGTGGAGTGACGAAGGATCTGGTTGGTTGAGTTGGAGAGAGTGGAGAGGTGGGGGAACAGGAGTGTTGTGCTGAGGATTGTGAGTGTTGATAGAGGAGTTTTTCTAGTGAATGAGTGAATGATTCAGTTTGAATGTTCTGTGATGTGCTGTGATGTGATGTGACGATGAGTGTGTCGGTGGTAATGTGATAGGTGGTGTTAGTGTTTAGTTGTGTGGATGTGGGTGTGTTGGTGATAAGTAGTTGTTGGTGTGTTATGTATATTCCATGTTACGTGTGTACGAGTGTTGAATGTAGGATGAGATGGTTGAATGTGTGGGCTAATTGTGAGTATGTGTGTTGTGTTGTGGTTGTTGGATTGTAGTGTGAAGCGATGTGTTTGTGTGCGAGCGGACGTCCGGCGATAGCTCAGTTGGTAGAGCGGAGGACTGTAGATTGGTGCAGTGATCCTTAGGTCGGTGGTTCGAATCCGCCTCGCCGGAGCTGGTGGGCTTTTGATCCGACATCACTCGATGCATCACACCGACCAGTCAGTCACAAGCTACACTGTGTCGTTGGTCGCCTCACCACAGTGAGTCGGATCGCCAGCGACCAGCACATCGCAAACGTGTCTGTGCGTGCAACCCACCACCCACTCATGGTGTGTAACGGTACAGTCCCCCGTCTAGTCATCGCATCACACTCCACTATTGCCCATCCGTTATGTCGCATCACACCGATCGTCAACTACTCATCCGATGCATTCATTTACCAAATCCAGTCCCATTCAATATCCTTCAGGTGGTCAGACGAACACACACACCAACTGATCGATTGAATATCTCGATGAGTTAGTGAGAGGGTGAATCAATGAATCTATGAATAAATGAATGAATGAATGAATGAATGAATGCATGCATGCATGCATGCATGCGTGAAGGATTGGATGATTGATTAAGAGTACGGCACATCACTGATTGACTCGGTGTTCCATTGTAAAACACTGAGACTGCATACAGAATTGATGGTGAAGTGATTCTGACAATGAGTGCTTGTATGTGAGTGTGTGCGTGTGCGTGTGTGTCTCTGATGGTGAGTGTGGATATGTTCTGACGACAATCATTCGCATGAGTGTAGTCGTTGAAGAGAGATTGGTGTGGGACAGATGGTTGTTGTGTAGTATCATTGGAGTTATTTCTGTATGGAGTTGATGCGACTCGGTGTGTGGGATAGTTGTGTCTGATGGTTGTGAGTGTGTGTGTTCGTGAATTAGTAAATGATGGAATTGAATTTCGATTGTGTTGATGGTGGACACAGTTGTGTTGTTTGTTCAATTTGACTAATGTGTATAGCGATATGATGATTTGTGAGATGGTGTGAATGAATGGTGTACATGTGGATGCATTGAGTGAATGTGTATGTTTGGGTGATTAGGGAGGTGAGGATGATGAAGTGTTGTGTTAGATTTCTGTGTGTGATGCAACACACACGAGGTTGATTGTGTCGTAGGTGGATTGACGTGAGGCGTGTGTTTGTGTGGGTGAGTGTGGAGTGACGAAGGATCTGGTTGGTTGAGTTGGAGAGAGTGGAGAGGTGGGGGAACAGGAGTGTTGTGCTGAGGATTGTGAGTGTTGATAGAGGAGTTTTTCTAGTGAATGAGTGAATGATTCAGTTTGAATGTTCTGTGATGTGCTGTGATGTGATGTGACGATGAGTGTGTCGGTGGTAATGTGATAGGTGGTGTTAGTGTTTAGTTGTGTGGATGTGGGTGTGTTGGTGATAAGTAGTTGTTGGTGTGTTATGTATATTCCATGTTACGTGTGTACGAGTGTTGAATGTAGGATGAGATGGTTGAATGTGTGGGCTAATTGTGAGTATGTGTGTTGTGTTGTGGTTGTTGGATTGTAGTGTGAAGCGATGTGTTTGTGTGCGAGCGGACGTCCGGCGATAGCTCAGTTGGTAGAGCGGAGGACTGTAGATTGGTGCAGTGATCCTTAGGTCGGTGGTTCGAATCCGCCTCGCCGGAGCTGGTGGGCTTTCGATCCGACATCACTCGATGCATCACACCGACCAGTCAGTCACAAGCTACACTGTGTCGTTGGTCGCCTCACCACAGTGAGTCGGATCGCCAGCGACCAGCACATCGCAAACGTGTCTGTGCGTGCAACCCACCACCCACTCATGGTGTGTAACGGTACAGTCCCCCGTCTAGTCATCGCATCACACTCCACTATTGCCCATCCGTTATGTCGCATCACACCGATCGTCAACTACTCATCCGATGCATTCATTTACCAAATCCAGTCCCATTCAATATCCTTCAGGTGGTCAGACGAACACACACACCAACTGATCGATTGAATATCTCGATGAGTTAGTGAGAGGGTGAATCAATGAATCTATGAATAAATGAATGAATGAATGAATGAATGAATGCATGCATGCATGCATGCATGCGTGAAGGATTGGATGATTGATTAAGAGTACGGCACATCACTGATTGACTCGGTGTTCCATTGTAAAACACTGAGACTGCATACAGAATTGATGGTGAAGTGATTCTGACAATGAGTGCTTGTATGTGAGTGTGTGCGTGTGCGTGTGTGTCTCTGATGGTGAGTGTGGATATGTTCTGACGACAATCATTCGCATGAGTGTAGTCGTTGAAGAGAGATTGGTGTGGGACAGATGGTTGTTGTGTAGTATCAGTGGAGTTATTTCTGTATGGAGTTGATGCGACTCGGTGTGTGGGATAGTTGTGTCTGATGGTTGTGAGTGTGTGTGTTCGTGAATTAGTAAATGATGGAATTGAATTTCGATTGTGTTGATGGTGGACACAGTTGTGTTGTTTGTTCAATTTGACTAATGTGTATAGCGATATGATGATTTGTGAGATGGTGTGAATGAATGGTGTACATGTGGATGCATTGAGTGAATGTGTATGTTTGGGTGATTAGGGAGGTGAGGATGATGAAGTGTTGTGTTAGATTTCTGTGTGTGATGCAACACACACGAGGTTGATTGTGTCGTAGGTGGATTGACGTGAGGCGTGTGTTTGTGTGGGTGAGTGTGGAGTGACGAAGGATCTGGTTGGTTGAGTTGGAGAGAGTGGAGAGGTGGGGGAACAGGAGTGTTGTGCTGAGGATTGTGAGTGTTGATAGAGGAGTTTTTCTAGTGAATGAGTGAATGATTCAGTTTGAAT